GGTTTTCAACCCCCGCCCCGTGAATTTTGAAAATACAACAGCTAAAAGCTACATATATTTCTTAGCAATGAGGTGATATAATTTGTAATTACACCGACAAGCTTGTTTGCAATGCTTCACAATCGCTCGCTCGCACGTGGGTGCATGCGTTCGTTCGGTCTCTCTCTCTCTCCTTAATTAATTCGAATTAATTTAAATAAATATCATCTTTATTTCACTAAAGAATTCTACCTCTAACGAGCTGTAGATAAAATAGTCTAACAAATTAAAATTACCTGCCCGGGCACATAAACATGCAAATAATTGGTATCGGTATCGGTTATAAAATATCAATATCGGTCGATCACTACTTATAACAGTATTAAAATATAAGGTTCATTATTGACTGTAGAAGATTACCTTCTGCTGGGTTCATGATAGCATCGTGGAGGACAGTGGCAACACTTCCCGCCACACCTGAAGTGGAAAAGAGAAGAAAAATTATGTACATCACCATATCAAGTCACAACATGTTGAAAAAAACAGAACAGAAACTCATATGCTACATTTACAATGTACAACAGACAAAGGGGCGCTCCGCTTTCCATTCCTTATCCTCAAAACGACGGCACAATGGACAGGGGTAACTAATTTTACATAATAATTTGTCTAATTTTTAAAAAAGGTTTTTATTTAATGAAAAATTAGCCTTATTAGATGAACTATTATTTATAAGCTTTTCTCCCTTCTGGGGCCTGAAATTGAGGAATTTTGGTCAATATTGATAATTAAACAATATTTTGCATGCTGAATGTGTTTAGGCCTGTCATGGATAATGATGATAATAAAATCGCCAGTAGGTGGCAGCAAGTCCCTGTTTTAATAAATTATTTATTGAATCATTCAAATCAAACGATTCGTTCAAAACCGCTGATTCAATTAGAAACTAAACAAGTGAGTCCATCTGAATGAGCCGCTGAATCACTGGCTCACTCGATTCGTTCAAAAACTGATTCATTCAAGGAACTTCAAGGAACAAAACACTGTGTTGCTCTGCACTGTTGTATACAATTAATAGCACATTTGTGCTGGCGCACAAGTGCTGATATTTAGAAAAGTACATGGCTTGTGCAATGAATATAAAAACTCATACATGGGTATTTTTTCTTTCATTGCTTGAATTATAAGGGCATTCTAACTGCATTCTAACAAGCTTCATCGCGCAGTGAATGATTTTGGACTCAAGACATGTTTTTGTTTGGTTTTTGCAAAGTCGATGACTGGATAACATCAGCTCTAATATCTCTCAATCCCTCACAGTCACACACACAGCACAGTAAATGTCAGGGGTATGTCTTTAAATTCTAATCAAGGAAAAATCATACCTTCAGTTGTCTTCTTTTTAAAGAATTTCAAAAGTTGGGCTTGAACCATTTTGCGCGAAAAATGACGAAAACTTGCTTCCGCTTGTGTATGGAGCTTATAATATGACAAAACTAATTGAATTTGTATTGTGTAAATTTGAATTATTGACAAGTGTCATTTAACAAAACTGAATATTATGTGGCATTTAACATAGTTCTGAATTGGATTTTTTAAAACTTGAATATTAAACATTTGAAATTTAACACAACTGAATATTTTTATGGCAGAGTTTTAAAAACATGTATTTTCAAACAGCAAATTTTTTGTTCTGAAATCTTAGACTGCAAATATCCAGTTTTTAAAAATACAGCTTCAAGTTTTCAAGATGAAGAGGAAATTCTGAACATCAAATTCAATACATAGAAATTCTGATCGTATAGAAAGTAGGTCAGAGGTAAGCCACAGGGAAGAGTAGATGATCTCCGAAAAGTCAAATGAAGCATTTTGGCCAATTAGTAGTTTTCTGGCGTAAGCGTGCGGTTCAAGATCTACCTGATCATGAATCGCCCAGAGGTAGCCCAAGTGATTCTTAAACATTTATGGTTTATATACTTATATGTTAGGTTAGCATTCTCAGCATGT